TTATCGGGCTACATTACATAATGTTTTTGGAATTAATATTCCATCAGCATCTCATTTGTAGCAAACAAGTCCTCACAGACACTTCGTCTAAAGACTAGCAACCTCCAGTAGAGTCTTTCGTTGCCAGATAATCCATTCCTGGGGTAACTTAAACATCATAGTTCATAATTTTAAAAAATGTAACTTAAACTTAATCTAACAACATTTAAAGGGTTTTTGCCCATATATTTGGTGGTTTCAAATATATGCATCCAGATAGCAGTGATGATGGAATAATAATTACAAAAACGTTCTGTGATGTAGCCCAAAAGGGTATCTTTTAATATATACTTTTTATAAAGGAATTTTTTAATAAAATTTTTATGTAGGTAAAGAAATAATAAATAAGATTTACTCACAATTAATTTAATTTAACTATCAGACGACCGGTTTCGCTTTCTACAATATGCAAAGCATCCTCAGGTCTCGATACAAAGTTAAACAAATGATGCCGGTACTCTATTAATAGATGGATGGTAGAACATGGTTGAAACTACTTTATATTGTTGAATGGAGAACTCAATTCTATTATTGCAGTTGTTTGACAGTAAACGGGAAGTTCTTGAGGAGATAGATTTGATCCAATGAAGAAGAGATATGTGTAAGATTGTTAAATGTAAGTGATGTAATATACCATTGTGTTATTAAAAGCTATTTATACTTATTCGAGAGATATATTTTTGAAATGTGTGTTATTTATTGAGTAATTGCTTTATGAAGGTGACAGTTTTATGACAATGAATAAGTTTAGATGTAAAAATTGTGTGGGTGTGCAATTATTTTCCAACTTGTAGTTATCAAATTACTTTGATAAAGTTCTATTGGCAATGAGTTAATTATTGGAAAGTCAAGTAAATAAAATATTAAAATACAAACAATTAAGGATAATTTAAACACACTAAAACAGAAAACACTTAGAAGGGACAAAACAAACATTGAATTTAAAAAGGGGGAAGGGCTTTAATGCACTACATCGCAGTCTTGGACACAATGAGTTTTTTTAAAGTTTTTTTATACACTATTTACACTTATTAACACTAATAAGGCCAGTGTTAACATACGGGTCAGAAACGTGGTCACTTACACAGAACGACCAAGACAGAGTCCAAGAACAGGGTTTGTAGCGTAGACGGTACAACTTTGAGTTATACAGAAGTTTTGGGGAACCTGACGTTATAAAATGTATTAAATTAGCACGCCTTCAATGGATAGGACATGTAATTAGGCAAGATGAAGAAGCAACGATCAGAAAAATTTTAGACCGAAGAGGACCAGTGTGAAGACGAGCCAGAGGAAGACCAAAACTTAGGTATCAAAATAACATAGAAGATGATCTTAAATCCATCGGAGTTATGGCATGGAGAAGAGTTGCCAAAGACAGGGGCGAATGGAAGATTGTTCTGAAGAAGGCTTTGGCTTATAACGAGCTGTAATGCCACTAATGATGATGATGATCAAATTTTTCAATAAAAAGATGCTAAGTATTTATTATCCAAACGAGCAGTTGTCACTGGATAAATCTATGGTGCTATGGCGTGGTAGGTTAAATTTCCGTTAGTACTTAAAAGGAAAACGACACAAATTTAGTATACAGCTGTACGTCATTTTTTAAACCACCTTGGTTAACTATTAAACTACTTGTTTATTCAGGATCTGCACATCTTTAGTTATCTGGTTCTTAAAATACGATTTGATGAAATATACAAGGCAGGAAAAATACCAGTATTAGTAGCATTGCCCAAAAAAACCAGGAGCAAAAGTTTGTGAAGATTATAGGACAATAAGCCTAATGAGCCATCTGCTGAAGCTGTTTTTAAAGGTCATCCACAAAAGAATTTACCGGAAATGCGAGGAACAAATTGCGCTCAATCAGTTTGGATTTGTGAACGCCGTTGGTACGAGGAAAGCTTTATTTAGCGTGCAGATCTTGTTTCAGAAATGTAGAGATGTCAGCTGTAATGTTTTTGCATGCCTGATTGACTACAAGAAGGCTTTCGATAAAGTCAGGCATGAACAAATGATGGAAGTGCTGAAGAGGACAGGGATTGATGGAAGAGACTTAAAAATTATAGCTAATCTGTATTGGAATCAATCAGCGGTACTCCGAATAGAAGGAGAATATACAGAACAGGTCAAAATCTTAAGAGTGAGACAGGGGTGCATAATTTCACCACTGATATTCAATCTGTACTCGGAGCACATTTTTGAAGAGGCCCTAAAAGATATGGATGAAGGCATCTCAATAAATGGAATCAAGCTTAATAACCTGCGGTATGCAGATGATACAATAGTGTTTTCCAATACCATAGAAGGGCTGCAAAACTTAATGAACAAAATAACAGAAACAAGTAGAACCTATGGACTGAATATAAACACCAACAAAACCAAGCTAATGATCATCAGCAAGCAAAACAACTGGAGCAAATCTGTATGTGAACCAAATGAGAATTGAACTTGTCTCACAATACAATTACTTGGGAACTATAATCAATGAGTCGTGGGACAATACCCAAGAGATTAAATGTCGCATCGGAAAGGCCAAAAGTACATTATTGGGTATGAGCTCTGTGTTCAAAAGCCATAACCTCACCCTGAAAACAAAAATAAGGCTCCTTAAATGTTACGTGTACTCAGTGCTTTTGTATGGAGTAGAAACGTGGATATTGAAGGCAGAAACTCATCAAAACTTTAGGCGTTTGAATTATGGTTATACAGAAGAATCCTGAAAATACCATGGACAGACAAAGTCACCAATGAAGAAGTACTGCTGAGGATGAACACAACCGCGGATTTGGTCAACATTGTGAAGAGCCGTAAGCTGGAGTACTTGGGACATATAATGAAAAATCAAGGTAGATACGAGCTACTCCAATGCATTTTGCAGGATAAAATTGAAGGAAAAAGAGCCCCAGGACAAAGAATATTCTGGCTTGCTAACCTGAGAGCATGGTATAGAAAGACCTCAACACAGCTATTTCGCATAGCAACCAACAAAATCATCATAGCCAGAATGATCGCCAACGTTCGGAACGGACAGGCACCCTAAGAAGAAGAATATACGGAAAAAGTAGTAAAATATCTTACGGCAAGAAAAACTAAGAGTTAGGTATTCCTTATTTAATAACAATTTTTACAATAGTTTAAAATTAACCAAAGATTTGTCCTCCTAAGTTTTGTCTAAAAATTAAAAAAAAAAGGTAAACTGAAAAAGTTACTACACAACATAGTCAAGAGGTGATGAAACCAATGTTCATAAATGAATACAACACATTGATGGCAGGGGACCATCAATGTGTTGTATTCCTCCACCGAAGAGGAGGTAGGCGAAGTAGTACAGCAATTAGTTCAAATGCGTGCTGGTACTAAATCGCATAGTTTAAAAAAATATTTTATAATAATTTGTATTATAATATAATTATATATGTATTATGTATTATCCTGGTCTATGTAAAACTTTACTAATCTGCTCCCACGCATTATCCCTTACATTTTGATTCCTATAATCCCCCAAGGACTTTTTCCATAAACATGATCGTTGTTTAACTTCCTCGATTAAAATTTCCAACACCATGTTTGTTTACTGTTTGTTTAACAATACGCGTCGACACCACCTAGACTTGCAACGGCGTAAATAAAAACCAAAACATACGTTGGACCGATTACTGCGCAAGCCCGTACTCGGCGAGGAATAAAAATATATCCGACAACAAAACATTCAACGACGCAGCTAACATAGCGAACATCGCGAACATAGCGTACGCGGATCTGTGTGGCCAGTCCCGTTGTCCACAACGGAAGATATATTTTCGTCGTATAGCGAACATCGCGTACGTAGCGAACATAGCGCTCTGTGTGGCCGAACCTTAAGACTCTAACTGCGTATCTACATGTCTTCATACTTCTGTTGCTGTTCTTGGTCAGCACTACTCCATGCTAGTTTCTGACCACATGCAAGACATGCAACTGTGACCACATGTTATCACATTATCTGTGCTAAATTTATACCATCTGTATAAGATGAGTACCAGAAGTCGTAACAGTTTCTATGAATTCAGATTAGACGTAATCGGACCCCCACCAGATTCAATACCACAGGTAAAACTTCAGAACCTTAAAGAGTACTGCCCAATACGAGATAACGGTAAGGCTAAAAATACACTGTTTGCAGGAGTGACGGCAAAAAACTAGAGGATTCAGTTTACTATTGCCTTAGTGCCCAAATGACGCTGGAATTTGTCTCACACCATGCTTTAGAATATTCCATGCAAACAAATAATGCATTTTAATATGTTTATTTTCAGGTAAAATTATTTTTTTGTGCAAGATGCTTACGTACATATAACAGATTTACAAGAATGTATTAATTAACCTGTTCCCTATCTCGTTTTTTATTTTTTTGCATACAACTGTATCAAAAAGTTTAGTTACATTTATTTAAATCACAATTCACTAGTATTATGTTTAGTATAAGAAAGATTTACGTGGTACCTAGTGTGACAAATAATTTTCACGCGGACAGTGAATGTGTTAACAGATAGATGTGCTTTTATTAGTGTTTGTTGGTAAACTTTTTTATTATATTACAAGTACACCAAACATTATCTACACTTCAATTAAATACTCATTTTTTAACAACTACGACTTTTGTAGAGCCATTTCTTGACTTAATCAAATAAATGTATTAATGTGTAATAATTACAACAAAAATTATTACTTGTGAAGACTAGTAATAACAAGATTTTCTTGTGAAAACTAGTAATAACGAGAGCTTTTGCTCGAAAGTGATAAATGAACGTTGGAACACGACTATGTGATGTTTAGAGGTATTTTACATGTTCTATTTTTCTTTCACCTACCAAGATCATTTCTGGCGCATCAAGTTGTAAGATGTCATTTCTAGTTTGGACAAACTGTACCTACCTAATTATTTGGCATAGTGTAATATTCTTAAATGAAACTATATTATATTCCTTAAAAATATATTTAAAAAAAAATATCAGTTTACAATTTTGCATTAACATGAATAGCTACTACACCATCATCTTCATTAGTGGACAAAGAAATAGAAGCCTTACCACTTCCATCAACATTTACAGTTTTTCCTGTGCAAGATCCGTTCTCCAAACTACCAGAAATAACATCACAGTAAGTACCAGCTGGTAGTTGGGTTTGAATGCTTTGATTAATGTCTCCTTGTAAAGTAAAAGCTATAAAGCCTTTGTTTCCTCTTCCAAAAGCAATTTGTTGATTGCCGTCACTCCACCAGTTATTGACACCTGTGCCAGCTACAGCGTTTCTAAAGCCGACCATATTGAAGATTTCACGCCATCTGTGTTCACAGACCCAACCATTTGTACACGTGCCATCAGCGTTAAAACCGGGTTGTTGACCAGGTGGACCTAAAATTTAAATACACTTTTAAATATTACAATATAGAGGATTTTGTTAGTAAAAACTAATAAATTTCATTCGAGGACACTAGGAATGAAATCTAGTGTTACGATAAAATACTAAAAATAGAACTAGAGAAAACACTAAAATATGAAAGATAAGTTAAAGAAAAAAACTAAGAGTTAAGATGCGTAAAACTATCAATCAGTGCCTAGTAGTCAGAGAGACATAGGAAAAGTAGACAGAATCTGAAAAGAATCGCAAGGTACAACAATTGGTAAAAATTCTATATGTAGATATAAGCTATCTAAAGGGTTCTCACAAACCTATCAGGAAGGTATGAATTGCGATAACAAAAATATTTGATGGTTTAAAAAGAATGATAGGACAAGGAAAAGAACAAGCAATATTTCTCTTGTATTATTTTTTTTTGTTTTCATATTTACTTAACTCGTTAGTTTTTATGGCTTCAAGAAAATTCATTCATCCGATCCCATCCATGCCAATATTAACTTATTAGATAAAAAAAAAATACGTAACATAGTCGCAAACTAAAATCTCAAATAGCACAATAAGACTGTACAGGACGTTGATAGTCCTGATTCTAACCTATGTATCAGAGAATGGATTTTTAGAGCGGTTCTGAAGATAGAATAGTGAGACACAAAAAATAATTTAAGTTACAGAAATAGTTCGTTGAAAAGATATTGGCAAAAATAACTTTGCTTATATCCCAGTTTTTGTTTAACATCATCGCACACATAGGGGAAATTGTGAATTATTTCGAACTCTATTCTATACGCTTTTATGTTCATTGGTTGTATTTCTGTTTTTTTCGACAACCATAACATTGATCTTAGTGTTTATAAATAGTTGCAAGTCTTTTTGATTGGATTCAAATAGTACCATGTCGTCTGCGTATCTGAGGTTTTTGACAATAATTACGTTTATTTTAATGTCTGCGTCGTCATCTAAGGCTTCTTTGATAATAAATTCGGAGTAGATATTAAAAAGTAGAGGCAATAAAATACACCCCTGTCTCATTCCATGTCGTATTTTCACTGTTTTCATCGTATTTTGACCAGTTTGTATGTTTGCACATTTATTACAGTACAAAATTTTAATAATACGGAGATCTTGGTCATCAATTCCCATCTGTTTCAAGACACATATCAGTTTGTCGCGGGTGACCTGGTCAAAGGCCTTTTCAAAGTCGATAAAATACATATAAACTGATTGTTCTATATCCATCTTTGCACTAGGACCTGCAAACTGAATGATGCTTTTCCAACCAAAGTGTGTTTTGCTTAAAAGTACTTCTATTTTATTGTAAATTCTCGAGTGCAGTATTCTTAAGAAAATTTTCAATACATGGCTCATTAAACTGCTAGTTCGATGATCGCTAGATTGTTTGGCGTTTATTTTTTTCGGTATCTTTATAAATGTTGACAGTAGCCAATCTGTTATTTTCCTTTTCTTTGATGATTGTATAGCTCTTTTCATCTCATCGAAGGTTATGTTTAGACCAGTCGATATATTTTTGATTTATATTTCTGTTCTTTTGTCAATAAACAGTTCCTCAATATATTTTCTCTACGTCTGTAGTTTATCTTGTTCTTTGACTGTAATATTTCTTTGTTTATTAAGTAAACTACTTGAAGTTGACCTGTATGGTCCAGTTATTTGTTGTACCCTTTCGTACATATATTAAACATCTCATTCTTTTTCTGCATTTCTTCTATTTCAATACATTTGCTGCTGTGCCATTTTTCTTTTACATCCTAAATTTTCCTTCTAATTTGTTTATTGATTTCTTTGTATTCTTCAGTGTTTTTATTTTCTGTTCTTGTCTGATTTTCATTATTCTATATATTTCCTTAGTCATTCCTTGTTGGTTGTGTTTATTAAGAGTTTTTTGGTTGTTTTAAATGATGGTTTTGCTCCGATTTTTCAAACTTCCTTTCCATCTCTTGTATGATTGCTTGACTATTATCTCGAATACAGTCAGTGTTTATTCGGTTAGCCGGTTTTTGGCGCTTTCCTTCTTTAAGTTTGAGTTTATTGTCGCTAGATACAACTAGAGACTTCTTTATGTATATTGAATGCCACATAATTTCGGTGGCTATTGCCTTCTTCTCCGAAGTAGAATATGTCTATGCTATATTTATCAGTTAGCGGCCAGCACATCTCGCTTATCCCAAGAACGGTATATTGAGCCTTTATGTCAACATAATTTCAAGGATGTTGTTTTGAGTCTTACCGGGCTCGTAGGGTATTTTCACGTTCTATGTGCCGATTCTCATAACTGATTTTATTCTTATTTCTTTTCTTTTGTTACAGAGATTTCTCTAGATAACGACCTGGAAAGCAATGTGTTCTTGTCTTCTCCTGCCGGATCTTTTTGTCCGAGGACCATGATCAGTATACCTTTTCTTATCATATTTCAAAACCGTTATGAATAAACTGGGGAATAGTAATGGGGTGGTTTCCAGTTGCCCTCCCCATCGCAGTACCATAACCATTTAAACTGCTGCAGTCATGATTGTGGTAGTCCAGTTTCAAGCCGATTCACGATCATTTCCTCTGAACCTTTAGTTGATACTGATCATCACTGCTGCTTTCAACAGCAATTGATAGGTAAAAGGTCACTTGATTTTTGGAGGACAAAAGAGTGAGACATGTTTTCTCTTAGTGAGGAGTTGAGAGTAAGGCATGGCTCGTGTGGGTAGGGTCGCTTCCCTAAAGAAGAACTATTCTCTATTGGGATCGTAGAGAAGTGTCTACCTGCTACCGCTGAAAAGATATTACAACAAATAAATAAATCTGTCTATATTCAAAAAGACGTGTAACTTTGTCATAAGAATCAAATACGATACAAAGATTCACAAAAGAACAAAACCGGATGGCACAAAAAAAAAATACTTCTAGGTTCTCCTACATGGGAATTTCATACAAAACAGTATTAGAATAAGGCACAAAATAGTATGACATAAAAGTAAAAGTTTAAATAAATTTTAAGACGACATAAGTTTTAAAAGTATCTGAAAAGGATATTAAATATCCTTTTCAGTTACTTTTAAATTTGTAGAATAAGCAAAACCTATTTTTTTTTATTCTGTTTTATTCCATATCTTTATTTTGTACTCATTGATGGATAGGGAGCATATTTCTTAAAAAGGTCATACAAAGGTCAGACAAGTTTAATACCTGTAAACCAAAAGTGCTTCGAAAATCTACCATGGAAACATCTACCAAGATGTTTTTTTTTGGTGTATTAGAACAATTGATGAAGTGTTTTATTATTACGAAGATAAAACCGAAGATTACGAAGATTACGAAAGATAGATGGAAGTAGAAAGCTGTGATCACTACTAATATAGATTTGTTCCTATACTCCAACTTTTCATAATACATCATTCATATTACCTTGATTATGGTCATTAAAATCAAAACTTGACATTATCCTCGTAGTACCATATGGATGGGCCAACATGAAAGCTATTGCCATCTTATAAGGTTTGGGATTCTTATACGTAAGAATAGCTGGTGATCCATCTCTTTGGTTGTCATGGTTGTCAATAAAGGCAACTGCATCAGTCCCTGCTAATAGACCCCATTCTGTACCCCAGTTTTCTAACCAGTGGAGAGCGTTGTGGCCTTGGAATGCATTACCCAGTTCGGTACCGAATTTAAATTCTAGTACTGCTCCAAAGCTGTTGTATTCGGTTTTCTTTACGGCCTCTCCTCCTGCAATAAACAGTAAATGTTAGAATAATATGCATATAAAATAATAATGTAGCTTAAAATAGATTGGAAGAGTTAATACATTTTAAGCTTTACTGATCAATTATTTTGGTATAGTATCTATTTATTCATTGTGTAATTAACTTTATTTATATATATTTTATTTTGAGCTACTAAGTTAGCTGTATTGTTTTTCTGTTTATCTCAGATTCTTACTTACTGTTACTAAAGCATTTTAGCAGTGAAGCGAAATGCGAGTCGACCGCCCACCCCGCTTGGCTATCTGAGCGACTTGTGACTATTGTTAAGAAATTTTGTTAATCTAATTAAATAGCCATAAACATTTATATCACTTACTCGCATTTTTCTTAATGATGATTAAGCATTCGACCAGTAGCCTAAAAAGTAACAGCCACTGTCCGAAGTTTGTAATTGTAATATATTGAGGTCTTAAGGATGAGGAAACTTCCTTTTTCAGAACTTTGGAGAGGGCAACAAGGGACTACCCACAAATAAGGATCATAAAGAGATTCTAGTCTAAATTTCCTGAAAAAACGCAAGATTCCGCCTCCAGGCCAATGACGAGAGCGAAATCCTTAAAATGTTTGCTTGCACAGTATATGTTGCAGATTAAAAATGGAGTGAGATTAAAGGCTGAGCGGATACAAAGGCGATTATGGATTAGTTTCGCAAGGTTAGTGACGCAGGAACATTAGGTTTGCAAGTTTGCAAGTTTGCAAGTTTGCAAGTAGCAGCCACAACTTTAACAGTTCAAGCCAAACAAAGAAATAAGATTAAGACGTCCGAAATTCAAAGCTCTAAGGCAGCACTCGGAATAAGAAAAACTTCAAGTAAAAAGGGCCTCCCTAAATAAACCAATTCCGAGGGAGGGGGGAGAGCGCCCAAGGCAAAGAGACTGCAGATCTTCCGAACAAAGTCTGTATCGTCAGGACTGGAAAAAGTGTTAGTCTGCTCAAAATGTCGGAGACCACTAAGGGGGTAACCACCACCAAGAAAGAGATAGAATTCTCAAGTGAGGAAAACTAGTTATCTTTATCGAGCAGTAGTTATCACGCTAAGGCTATTTCCACTTCAGAAGCCTTATCTTTATAATGAAAAGATTACATGCCTGATGCCAAAACAAGGTGAAGTACTATGTAATTCCTTTGGGACACAACCCCGAGCTTGCCTAGTATATCGTAATGGCGTAAACTAATTTCGGCGCTTTTTACCGGAGGTTTTATTACAGGTATCCTAAACGTAGGCATGGAGCAAAACAGTAAAAGATGGTTGGTCTGCTCTGCCTACTAAATAGGAGATAAGCCTGTCCTTCAGGCATAGTATAAAATATAAATACTTACAGCCAAAAGTACAATCTTTAACTTTTAATGAGATAAGACGTTAATGCTTATCATTTGGTGTAAAGAAGTACAAACATCAACAGTAGAGATAAGCTGTTTTACAGATTATTTTAAGTAAAGGTTAGAAATTGTCATACCAATACGAAAAACAAAACCTAATTTTGTCGCAGACACTCAAAAAGAAGTATTAAATGTGAACAAAGCTGTCAAAATATAGGTTTTACTACCTGGGCTAAGACATTCTTAAAACTGATGTAAATTGTTAATAGAGGTGGATAATTGGTGTAAAGTATAAGTCCTAATCGTTAACCCGCAAAAAACAGCAATTCTTACTTTAGAAAAAGGCACCACAAAGATTACATCCACCAGTGCTCAGGTAAGTAGAGATTTCATCTGTGTGTCTAGCCAACTGCTTAGGTTTCATATTTGACCATAAGCTGACGTTGAATCACACATTAAAAATGTCATATAAAAGGCTACAATGACCCTTAGCAGATGTAGAAAAAAATAAGACTAAGATCAAAATTTAACCTTTGGTTCTATATACAGGTTATAAGGTTCATCATGAATTACGTTTTAGTAGCTAGGTGAACAAAGATGCAACAGTTTGGAACGATTTGACTGCTTAGTTGCACACAAAGGCTTGCTTGCTTGAGGGTCACAGGAGTCACAATAATTGCCCCTACAGATGCGTTAGCGGTGATGCTAAGCTTTTACTCGTGGCACATATAGAAAGATTCTAGGTTACCAGTACACATGCTAATCCAGAGTCAATCTCCCGTTAATATAGCACGGATCAATATTCTACTTATGTCTGTAGACTAAATGGATCAAAGAAATAGATTTGATAAACATTATAATATCATAGTATCAAAGAGGGAAGACTGGAATATAGGTCCTCCAGTAATACCAAACAAAGTAATGACTGTACACTGCAGACTTAATAATCATTTGAGATACATGGACTTGATGAAAGAGGATATTTGTTAGTTTCATCTACAAGAGGTAGAAACGTTTCTGAACTTTCTATATTGGTCTGATCAAAACACAACGCTACGCTTTGGAAAGCAAAAACCAAAAGAATCATTCTATATAACAAGGACTCTTCTCAAGGTCTTAAAAGGTCATTAAGAGAATGGGGCTGGATAATAGGCACTGGATCATGCCGAAGACTACCCTAATTGTAATCTTTAATCTGCATTTCTAACGAAAAGATATACCGCATAATTTGTTTAGATCAAATCGACGTTTGTTTATAATTATACAAACACACACAAATATTTTATATAAACTTGAAAAATATTCTGTGATCTCGTACCTAAATCTATAACCTCTTGATAGAAGAAAGGTCTTCCACTTAAACCATTTCCTGTCAGATCCTTAACGCTGCCATAAATAGCTTGTAGATCAGCGGGCCACATATGCTTGGCAGCATCCACTCTAAATCCTGCTACTCCCAAGTCTACCAAATGGTTCAGGTACTCAACAATTTTTTGACGAACATAATCATGACTCTATAATCAGAACAGTATAAAAATATCATTATAATTATCACATATCACATATTACATATGATATTAAAATATCTCATAAAAACTAATAAATATTTATAAAGGAAAAAAAAATACAATTCATTGATTCTAGATTAATGTGCTATAAAAGACTATGTAGATAGACTATAAAAGAATAAAGCATAGTTAAACAAGGAAATATTATATTCGCACAGTATATAGTTAATAGGAGTCTTTGCTAAGGCTACTGCGTGGAGTGTCTTGGATCAGCACAATAAACGAAAATTATAATAGTAAATTTTAGCAACTTTATAGACTAAACTAAACAGTACAACTAATGGAGCGGCAGTTTTAACAATATATTATAAAAATTTAAAGTAAATAATGATATTGAGATGACGCATTACCAAAGTTATGGAGTAGAAACATTTGGAGGAAGAGTCATAACAGGAGAAAAAAGCAATGAGGAAGAATCAAAGTCTATGATGTTTAATGCTAAGCATAAAACATTGGTTTTATTAAAAAGATAAATATAGTAGAGGGGATCAGCTATTGAATTCTTTAGCATAGGAATTGCAGTAGACTATAGTAAACATTCACAAACCTGGTCCAAATCTGGTAGTCCACTAAGCCAACAATTTCTAATATTGTTCGCGTCTTGATAATTGTTAACATCACATTGAGAATGAAAGTCATTTGATCCGAATGGTACTGATGGGTAGGATAAAGAACCAACGTCACATGAACCTCCTGCAGTACCACCACCAGATGTCGCTGACATGTGGTTGAAGACAGCATCGACGTATATTCTGTAAAAAAACAAGTAATTTATTAATTTTGTGGCGTACTAAAACACAAACAGATATACATAAACGGTAAAAGAAGAGTTTATGATAATATTACAATATCAATTTTTTTGTACAAGTGATAATTGAACAAGCCATAAATAGTATAAGAAATCAAATATAAATTATGATATATACAATGATTAAAAACTGAAAGGAAAACATGACAATAACTGGACTGGAGTCTGAGTTGGAATCCAAGTGGAAGTAGTAGGTAAATAGACCAAGAAGTCATCTAAAAAAGAATTGAGGAATTAGGCAATAAAGAATAAAAAAATATCTGACAATAGGAGAACTGTTATTGCACAATGTGCAAAATTATAAATTATAGCACAATATTCGAAAAAGCATAAAAGGTTATTTGCCAATTTATTCCAACAATTTCTGTAAATATAAAAATGGAAGCACTCCTTTTTGTATTTGCTCAAATAGTATATCAATGCATTAAAAGAGATTTACAGGACGGACAGCCAAAACCAGCAGTGCTGAAGAAAATATCTTCAAGATATACAAAATAATTCAGGAAAATTAACAATGGTGAATTTTATATTATTTAAACTTTGATAATGAATAAATAAAATTTCTTATGCAAGATTTTGCGTTTTAAGGAGTATCTTAAAGTGTCTGTATTACCGCTGTTATGAGTTATTTCATTACTTTAAACATGGTTTCAATACTTGCTACATAAGTCAAACAAACCACTGATTATATTCCGAGAGATCTTCACAAAAAAATGAAAGACAATTACATCAACTACGAAGAATATGTGATGTGTTCTTTTGGTTTCTATAAGTGTTTTTTTTATTCTTAAGTTATGAAATTCAACTACACATCAAATTTAAGCACATAGGCAGATTCTAGAAAAGTCACTAGAATATTTGTACAATATTTGTCACAAACATTAGTAATGTTTGTATTTTGAGATCGATTTCCGAAGTGGAAATTGAAACGTCAATAAACGTACTTTAACTTTTTATTGCGGCTTATTCCCATTTAAATAGTAATTACTTCAAATATATGTTGGTTTCTAAAAGCCCTCGAAATATCCAACAGAGAATTTCTATTAACAACCATACCTTTGAGCAAGTCAAAGAATTTACATATCTTGAATCGCTAGTAAACGCAACAAACAACGACAAGTGACGAAATAAAAAGACGCATTGCAATAGCAAACAGAATTGTTCACGGTCTCCAGAATCATAATAAAAAATAAAAATATAAAACATGCAGTAACAAGAACTTAATAAGACCGGTTTTGATATATGTATGGGACTAAAACGTGGACCTTATCTTAAAATTAGAGAGACAAATTCTTAGATATATTTTTGTTTTAGATAGATTTTTATTTACCGATCCAGATATTGTGAAATTCGTTAAAATGGAGAGACTTAGATGGCCTGGACACATTGCTACAATGTGAGATCACGGATACACGAAGAAATTAACATTTTTAAAACCAGAGGGCACAAGAAGCAGAGGACGACCTCGAATGAGACGGATTTATGATGTTGAAGAAGACCTACAGATTCTAAGGGCTAGAAGATGGAGGGAAATATCCAGGAATCGACAGAAGTGGCGACTTCTTTGTGAGCAGACCAAGATTCACAATGGAATGTCAAGCCACTTACGATGATGAGGTTATGAAATTATTTAAAGATGTGATTTATAAATAATAGCTTACAGAAACTATAAAAATGGTTTAGAAGAGAGAAATCAAACAAATGAATTATTTAAATACAAATCTAATTTTTTACTACCTTAACTTTATACTTTGACGTCGTAATAAGCTGATGGAAGAAAAAAAATACAAACTCAAAATCATTATCCATCATTATCATCATCATTATCTTTGCCTTTATCCCTATGCACGCTGTGCTTCTCTAATTACATTTCTCCATAAGTGTCTACCTTAGGTTATATCAATATTAATACCCTTTACCCATATGTCCTACCTAAACGTCTCTCACCAGCTCTTTTTAGGTCTTCCTCTTCTACTACTTCCAAGAACTCGCAGGTCAGCAATTTTTTGTCTTGGGTGATTAATGTCCCTACGTTAAACATGATCAAACTATCTTAACATATGCTCTTGCATTTTGGCAACAACTGGTATCACCCCAAGTGATTTCCCCGAATATACTCAATTCAAATTTTTAATTTATTACCATATCAAAGTACTTTTTCCATCTCTTTTAGACATCATTTTCGTGAATAATTGTTTTACTATTTTTATCTCGGATATATCTGAGAAAAAAATTGTAAAATACTAATTCACGAAAAGAATGCCAAAAAAATATGGAAAAAGTACTTTGACAGGTTATTAAACGAATAATTTGACAAACAACCAGTTGAAATACAAATAAATGCTTCGGATTAAAAAAAGAAGGGCAGCTGCAAAATTTAACATTTATTTAACATAAAAATCTATTGGTCTTTCCTTATATTTCCAAGAAATAAGGATGATTCTACATTTGAATAATATCATTAAGATTGTCTCGCTAAGTAAATGGACCTATTTGTTGTTGGTATAAGTGTATTGTGATTTCCTCTAAAGACAGAGGTTGGCTGTAACATGTCAACCTGCCCTGTTGAGTATGACGGGCAATCATCCGAGGATTTACTTAGAACGTCTCTACTACAGCAAAAGCATCACTAACCAACTGATAACCATATTCAAAAAAGATCAAAACAAGTTGTATTTTTACCTGACTCCCACGTTGTTACAACGTTGCACCATATTAGCAAATGCACTTTCATCTCCGGATCGGGTAGTGAGTTGATAACTCACTGGTTGGTATCGTTCCCACCATGGTCTGTCACCTATTACGGAATTTTCGTTTGGAGGAGATACCTAAAAGAATATTTATTGCATAAAAATGTGGTACAACAGTAACCTATTTTTATTTTCTTCCGGGTTAAGAAAAGGCGACAACCTTAACCCTAAATGGAAGGCGCCAAACCTCTCCTAGGCTTTTTAAATCAAATATTTTTGAAATCCTAATGTATGTAAATGCAATGTAAGTAAATCAATATTATTTGTGAGTTTTTTTGGTTAATTTTGAATTATAAAAGTTTTCTTCAAATGGTTCAAATTACACAAAAGAACGTTATACACATGGAGGGGACCAGGAGATAATTCACTACATATGATTAGAAATCAGATAGACTATATTCTGGTAAACAAGAGATTTAAGAATGGCGTCACCAGAGTAACGACATATTCTGGGGAAGATATCGGTTCAGACCATAACTCTGTAATAACTGGCATCAAAGTGAAGCTCAAAAAAGTCCAAGGAAGCCCCAAAACACCAAAATTAAATATATTAATATCCAACAAAATGTTAATAGAAAATGACTTGAAACAATGAGCTAAAGAAATCAATAAATGAAAACAACACAGAAATATGGAACACATTAAATAAATAGTTTACATTGAAAGTAATAGAAAAATATTCAACAACGTTACACAGGCACAAAAAACAACAGATGACTGATGAAATCCTGGAATTAATGGAGCAGAGAAGGAAACTGAAAGGTAACAAGACAGAATATAAGGAAAAACAGAAACTAAGGTTTTTATCATAAGAAAACTCCACATACTATAACCGATTCGTCGGGAAAAATAATAATAGACGAACATGAAATTCGAAAAACCTGGTGTAATTATATAAGTGAACTGTATAATGATGATAGACCCGAAGAACCGGAGACTTTAGTTGAAGGTGAAGGACCAGAAATACTAAAATCAGAAATACTGCATGCTATAAAGTTAGCAAAGAACAAGAAAGCCGTTGGCCCTGATAACATACCGACAGAGATGTTAAAGCTTATAAATGAGGAGAACATTGGGATACTGGTCAAACTTTTCAATGATGTTTATTCGACTGGTGATATAACTGAAGATTGGTTAAAGTCCGAATTCATAACACTACCAAAAAAACAACGTCCGAAAAACTGTAGCGATTATAGAATGATAAGCCACACTTTGAAAATATTTTTACGCATCATCCACAGTAGAATCAGAGATAAATGTGAAGAAGATCAGGATGAAACACAATTTGGCTTCAGAAATGGACTGGGAACTCGGGACGCCCTCTTTGCACTAAATGTATTACTGCAGAAATGTCGAGATTAAAGGAAAGACATCTGTACTGTATTTATTGACTATGAAAAGGCCTTTGATCGAGTACAGTATCACAAATTAATTATAATAATAAAAAATAAAGAGTTAATAGTCAAGACATACGATTCGTAGAAAAGTTATACTGGCTTCAAACAGCGACAGCTTCAAACGGAAAATCAACAAAAATATGTAAAATACAAAGAGATGTCAGACAGGGTTGTATACTATCCCCGCTGTTATTTAATTTATATTCAGATATAATATTGAAAGAAGCGCTGCATAATTTAGAATGAGGCGTGAAAGTTAATGGAATTCTGATAAAAACAATCAGATATGCAGACGATACTGTTATTTTAAGTGATGACATGAATGGATTACAATGCCTTTTAAATGTCATTGATACAGTGGGAAGAGAGTTTGGCCTAAACATAAACTGTGCAAAAACAAAACACATGGTGTTTAGCCGTTTAGCACATCAAGATGCACGATTATATGTTGATGGTCATATAATTTAAAGAGTGTCCAGTTTTAAATATCTTGGTTGCCATATTACTGAACAACTAGATCCAGATCAAGAGATAAAATGTAGAATCGAGATAGCCCGCACGACATTTTTAAAAATGAGGTCATTCTTCTGTAATGATAACTTGCAACTTCAACATCGAAAGCGCATGGTTAAATGCTATATTTGGTCAGTCCTCTTATACGGTGTCGAAGCATGGACATTAAAAATATCCACCATTAATCGTCTAGAGCCCTTTAAAATGTGGCTGCACAGACGTATACTAAAAATTCCATGGACGACTATGCTGACAAATGTGGCAATCCTTGAGAGAGCAAATGCTGCTCGCGAGCTGCTTAATAACATCAAATGTAGAAAGATGGCCTAGTTTTGACACGTAGTAAGGGGAGATCGATATAATATTTTTCAACTTATTATGATGGGTAAAATCGAAGGACGCAGAGGAATTGGTAGAAAGCAGGCCTCTTAGTTGAAGAATATCAGGGAGTGAACAGGAATAAAGAAAGCTGAGCAACTATTTAGAATAGCTCGAGACAGATACAGTTTCGCCATGTTAATCGCCAACGTCAAGGGGACTTGGTAGGGCACGTTAAGAAGAAGAAGAAAACTTTTGTACTCCCTGGATACTCAAATAAATTTTTAAAAAGTGTGGGTGTTTTTTTAACACAGTGCTCTTACAGGAGAATCTAGTTGTTTAAAAAATTTAGGAAAAATCATTGTGATTGGTGGTTAATAGACTTTTTCTATGTTTTTAGATGTAGGCTCCAAGACGCCATAAAAAATAATTTCAAGTATTTTACATTATCTGAAAATAGTTTTTACCGACAAAATTTTATTTTTTTATAAGATAAAAGATTATACTTTCATTTACGTGTGGGGAAATTTAAAAGAAAATGTTACATCATAGAGAAAAAATTGTATAGTCTCTTTAAACTGATAGACCCCTAGAGTGAAGTCAATTGAATATAACATACCTATGCATTGTAACAAGTAATTATCTTTTTGATTACATCATAAATGTAATCCTTCCAGATTATTATTTTAAGATTTAAGATTGAAACGCCTGGTCTTTCTCCTCCTTCTAAGTGCCTTCTGTGTTGAGGTTGAAGATCAATATAGCAAATTCTCTCTGATCTGGGCTTGATGAATTAATTTATTTCCTCTTGTGTGGGTTCAATGATGTCCTGATGTTTCGTAGCCAAGATTTCTTCTTTCGTCCCTTTTACCTTTAATCTTGCCTTCTAATATTACCTGGAGCTGCTCAAATTCCCTATGCTGCATTATGTGTCCTAGATATTAGAGACCTGGTCTTTAATAGTTTTAATTTCAGAAAACCTAGTTCACAAATTACTTGAGTGAGAGGAATTATTGTTTGGAGGACCAAGCTTTGTTAAGGGTGCGTTGATTATGTAGACCATCGCATCGTATCCTCCCTAGAGCATAGCACTGACAGTGAACGCTCGCATTTAAAATATTGCACTTATTTTACCTAATATCGATAATATGATACCATCCTATGGTCCGACCAAGGGTTGGCGCCTCGTTGTGAAGCGCAGAAGCAAAGCGCGGAGAAAAAGGTTGTTATGAATTTTTTAATGTAGTTAAATATACTCACGCGTATCTGTGCTATACAACGCTCTGCATAGCGAAGAGAAAGGACCCAGATCGCAACCGTAGAATCCTAGGCGAAGAAATTCTATTCGGCGCGCCTTCCATTGCGCTAGTGAGCGGAGATCTACAGAAGTCATGCGGAAACTTTTCCGAATTTCGTTTGACATCGACTAATTTCGACGTGTCTCGTACTGAAAACAAGTACCCATCTTCACTAATATGTGCTAATATCGCTAATATACAGTTGGTTAGTATTTGTATTTTACACCTGTAGGTACTGGCCTAAAGTGAAGACAGTATGGATGACGAATCATTTGTTTAGAGCGACAAGTTCAGTAAATTTTTCTGGGCTCAATCTAGAATACTGAAAAAAATTGTTTTCTTCAAAATCTTTGAGCAAATTGCCATGCAGGTGGTGAAATTCTCCCCAAAATTACCTTTTTAAATTTATCTTATGAATCCAAGGTTTTCTTTTACCATTCATATTCTGTTCTTCTTCTTTAGCTTCTGTACATGCAATAAAAAAGTCTTCTTTTGAACTGCTACTCGATGCCATTACTTTAAAAACTATCGTACAACACGTGTCTACACACCTACTTCAACGCCAAAATATAACTTCTATTCCAAACCGAACAACAACGTACTGTATATCCTCGTATATAAGCAAAAAACCATGCACATATTAGCGCTCATTTCTAAACTTCGACGCGCCGTGCTTCACTTTTCTCTGCTTCTCCGCGCTTAAAGCTTGTGGCTCACTTAAGCGACATTCTTATAATTGTCTATAAGGACGATTTCATCAATCTCAAATGACTCAGCTTTTCTTCATTTATGTTGATACGCTAGTCCAACGCTAGTTTTGGTAGATTTATTTGATTATGTTAGTATAGTGTTGGTCTATTTGGCATTTTGTCAATGCTTTTTATATTTTCTGATGACCCATGGTATCGAATACTTTCTCGCAGTCCACAAATATCAGTGCCAATTATTTGCTGTATTCTGTAGACTTTTTTATCAGGTTCTTTATAACTATTAAGTGGTCGTTAGTGCTGTATCCCGATCAAAATCTAGCTTGTTCTCCATTTTGATAGAAGTCTAACTTAGCGTCTAGACTTTTTTATAATTTTTGTGAACTTTATATATGTATGTGTATGAAAACAAACTAATGGGAAGGTAGTTTTTTTAGATCTGTTGCTTGTTTCCATGTTAAAAAAATGACTACATTATTCCATTGCGAAGGAGTTTTTTCTGGCAGATGCACTCGGTGAAAAGGTTGGACAAAGCCTAGATTATTTAATTTTCACCTAGTTAGATGGCCTCGATCACTACTTCGTTATCGCCAGGGGATTTGTTATTTTTTATTTCTAAAAGTGCCGTTTTGACTTCGTATGCTGTTATTTCTGGCATTAATTCTGATCTCTGGTTTGTATTTTTTTTGTAATCTTGCGTTTCGTCAGTAGCCTCATACATTTTACGATAAAAGAATTCAACAACATCAAGGATTTCGGTTCTATCCGTAGTAATGATTTCGTATTTATTTTTTATTTTGTACATAATTTGCTGCCTACATATTGTTCTTATTTCGTACGTTGCCTCAACGTAGTTTTATTATCTGTATAATATCAGCGGCGTCAAAAATATGAATTTCTGCCTTAACTGCCTATCTTAAAGGAGATCAATGAGATCACATATAAATAAGAAAAGAAAGAGAGATCAATTATTACAAACAATAATTTGGATCTACATTTAGGATTCAGATCATTATTTATTTTACTTTAGAATTGTATGTATATTATGTAGTATACCCGGTAAAATATTTTAAAGGAATCATTTGTGTGTCTAAAAAAGCTAGAAACTAAGTTGAATGAATATTATGTATTTTTGATCACATGTAACATTAAAGTATTTTTTAATGTAACTACATATGTAACTTTCTATTATTGTTAAAAAGCATACAATACCTGAACACCAGCGAATCCTTTAGGTCCCAAAAAGTTCTCGCATTCACTGGCAATAGAGTCCCAGTGCCACTCGAATAAGTGAACGATGGTGTTTCTTCCTTCGGCGAAGTGATTATCCTTTTGTCCAATTACACTGGAAATAGTAACGCTTAAGGCGCAAAACAATATCACAATTTTCATATTTTCCACTCAATCGTATCTACCCTATTAAAAAACTTCTGCCGGATACTCGTAAATACGAAAACACCTATCTATTTATACAATAAAACTGCGAATTAGATCTTTATCGGTATAAAGTGTGTTCTTTTTTAAATGATCAAGATTATAGATAAATTCAAAATTCAAGTTATCGAAAAATTCAAAGTATACTTCAAAGATTTATTAGTCGGTTTTAATATGTAGAATAAATAAGAATCTTGATATATTAATATTATAATATTGTATATTTAGAAGTTTAAATGCCAATATACCCCTTAAAACCGCGATGTCAGATTTTAAAACAAATACAGATTTACTCCAGGTGAGTAGCATGCGTCCAAAATCTCACACCGATTTATCAGTCTGTCCCAAGGATTCTGGGGAGGACAAAAAGATGACTATACGGAAACCTAAAAACCCCATAACTCTTTACATTAGTACATACAATGCCAGAAGTTTGCCGGAATCTGAAATGAATAAAATTAAATGGGGTGTCATAGGTATCGGCGAAGTTAGAAAGAGAGGTAAAACTTTAAAGATACTGAAATCAGGGCATATATTCTATCAGAGTGGCCCTGAAACTACATTAGTTGGAGGCATCGGTTTCTTTGTCTATAAAAATCACGTGAACAAGATAATAAATTTTCAAAGTATATCATCAAAAGTGGCATATCCTATTTTGAAGTTGAACAGTATATATCAACTTGAAATTATCCAAGTATACACTCCAACAACAGACCATACAAAGAAAGAAATCGAAATATTTTATGACGATATATCTACTGCGCTTCAGGATTCTCATACTTAATTTACAATTTTATGTGACGATTTCAACGCAAACTTAGATGAAAAAGGAGCTGAGCTAGAAATATCCTTGGAAAAATTCGGTTTCCCAGAAAGAAATGACAGAGGAGAAACGCTACTAGGATTCCTACTCCAAAATAATTTATTCAACATGAACAGCTTCTTTTACAAAAGAATACACAGAAGATGGACCTGGAAAAGTCCAAACTGTAGAACAAGGAACGAAATCGACTACATCATAAGTGACAAAAAACCAATAATTACAGATGTAATCATACTCAACAAGTTCACCACAAGCAGTGACCCCAGAATAATACGTGCGAAAGTCCAAATCAACACAAAAAGAGAAAGCAACATAATGATTAAAAATATTGGTATCTGGACACCCCATTAGATATCAACCAATATCAGGCACATATCAATAATAAGCTACTACTGCATGAAACCTCCAAGAACAATCTTAATTACCTACTTACAGCAGGGATAACAGAATATGCGAAATCCAAAGACGAATTACTTTAGCGTGGGCAGCCGTTGGAAAACTGCGAAACATACTTAGGGAAAACATACCAATTAGCCTCAAAAGAAAAGTATTTGAAAAATTCGTATTACCGGTCATGACCTATGGGGCGGAAACTATGACTTTAACCAAGGCTACTGCTTCTAAATTGAGAGTAGCACAGAGACGAATGAAACGATCTATGCTGAGAGTGACGTTGCGGGACTGGATAAGAAACGAAGATCTGCGAAGAAGGATGAGTATTGCTGATGTTGTGGATCGCATAGCAGAACTTACATGGAATTGGGCAGGTCATGTAGAGAGAATGCATGACTCACGATTGACGAGTCAAATTACACATTGGAGGCCAAGAGCACACAAACGTAGTAGAGGAAGACCACCTACACGTTGGGCTGACGACATCAGGTGTATCACGAACAATTGGCAACAAAGAGCACAAAATTGCAAAGAATGGGGAAGTTTAAGGGTGGCATATGTCTAGCAGCGGACGTGATACATGAAGGCTGGATAATGATGATACTAAGAAATAAGTCGAAAAAAAATGAAAAGCAAAGTTATTATTCTCTACAAAATGTTAAGTAATAATATAAAATATTATATAAAATGAATCAGAATTGTTTAGTACCTCGTATGAACTTAGAACTAGTGAAGAAACAAACAATCAACCATTCGTATTAAAGATTACAAAAAAGATTGTGACACATAATTGGTCCCTAAAATATATCCCACACATGTCTCAACTGGGTTAAAAGCTGAAGAATCTGCTTGCCAGGAGAAGCTAGCTATCGATATAATATCGATGGTCTAGTACACAAACCATGGCATAAGTCCGAACCAGATTAATTGTTTTCTTTCTATGTCCTCATTGATATTTCGCTCCATTTTTATTTCGTTTCTTATTTGTTCGTTCCTAACTCTTTCTAGTTTCGATCTACCGCAGCTTCGTCTCAGATAATCCATTTCTGTCGTCATAAGTTTGTTTTTATTAGCTTTGGTGACGTTCCATACTTTCGAACCGTAAAGTGTAATACTTTGGACTATGCTACCGTAAATGTGTTTTTTGGTTTCTCGTCGAATTTTTTTTTTACCAGAGAAGAGAGTTTAAGGCACGGATCGCTGCTCTACCCTTGTTTCTACTTTTCCTGATATCATCTGTGCTATTTCCCTTCTTATTGAAAATGACCCCCAAATATTTGCAGGATTGTACGCCTTTGATTTTGTCGTCTTCCAAGACTAGGTCACATATTTCATCTGTTCCCACTGATAGATATTCACATTTTGTCAAATTCATATTTAGACCTACCACCTCATATTCTTCTTGCAGTTTTCTTACCATATAGCTAAGATCGTAACTATCTTCGGCAATTACTACCTGGTCATCTGCAAAGAAAAGTGTATATAGCGTGTTTTCTTCCACCGTTATTCCCAGGTTTCTACATTTTTTTACCCATTTCACTAAGGATCTGTCCAAATAGATTTTAAATAAGGTGGGTGACAGACAGCAGCCTTGTCTTAGTCCCTTTGTTGTTTGAAAATGAGAGGTGATTTCTTGTCCATTTTAATTCTTGCAAAGTTTTGTTCGTAGTATTTTTAATGGCGTTAATAAGAATTGGATTTATTTTTAAGTTATCCATTTCTATCCATAGTTGGGAGATCGGTACACTATCATATGCTTTTTCCAGGTCTATTAAAGCTATATGGGGTTCTCTATTTCTCTGTACTCGTTTTTCCATTGCAATTTTTAATGTGAAAATATTATCCATAGTGGAGCGTCCGGCCCTAAATCCCGCTTATTCTTCGGGTTGTTTATCTTTAATATCATTTTCTATCAAGTTTCTCAGTACTTTTGAATATAATCGGTCTATAGTAGCAATCACTGAGATCCCTCTATAGTTTTTAGGATCCATTTTTGTGCCTTTCTTGTGCATTGGAGAGATATACGATTGTCTCCATTCTTCTGGAACTTCTTCTCCGTTTAAGCATCTTTCGAATAATTTTCGGACCATTTCAAGCAGTTTTGATGATCCATATCTAATCAACTCTGGATGTATTCCGCCTGGGCCTGGAGATTTTCTTAATTTCATTCCCTTAACTGCTTCTTTCACTTGTTCTATTGATAGTTCTATTCTTCCTTCTACTTGCACTTGTTCATTTGTCTGTTTAAACCTTTCTCTTCTCTCTGTTAATAAGTTCTCAAAAATGCTCTATTCATGTGTTCTCTGGTATTCTATTTATTATGACTTGGTTTTTTGTCGTTGTTCTCATCGTTTTTATAGTTCTTCACGCTTCAGAGCTCTTTGTTCCTCCTATATGGTTGCCTGCATTTTTGTTCCCATGCACTATTTTTCTTTTTAACGACTTATCGTTTGACTTCTTTATTCAAGTTTTTATATCGTTGTTTTGTTTGTTCGTCTCCCTGTTGTAATAACTTTTGATATACTTCCTTCTTTCTTTTTATCTTTTCTTTCACTTCTTTATCCCACCAATATGGTTTATCTACTCTCCGCACCTGTAGCCCTAAGGCTTCTAGCGCTGCGTCTTTCATGCAGTTTTTTATATGTCCGTATTCATCCGTCGTTGATCTGTGTGATTCCTGTAGTTTTTGTGTTAGTCTCCAGGAGTAAAGTAATTGTGTGCTCTCGATATCTAGATTGTCTAAGGTGTACGTCGTTCTTTCTATTTTTTGTCTGTGTTCTTTATTGATGTCTGTGTGATTCCGGTCTACGAATGGTGTATATATTTTTCCTATTATCTTGTTGCCTTGTTATGAAATAATCTATTATCGATTTTAGACCTCTTGTGTGCTGATACCAGATGTATTTATGTATGTTCTTGTGGGCAAAAAAGCCATTCAAAATCTTTAACTCATATTGTTGGCATATATTTATGAGTCTTTCTCCGTTATTGTTAAGAGTTTCTTCTCCATGCATGCCTACCACTTTACTTTGTACTTGTTTTCCTACTCTGGCATTAAGGTCTCCTCCGCATATAATCTCATGGCTGTTAGGAATTTCGTTCAGGATTTCTCTAAAGTCTTTTTCAAAAGCTTCCTTTTCTTGTACTGAGTAGTCCTCATTTACGGCATATACCCCCAGAATTGTTATTTGTGTTCCTCTTAGGAGAATCGTCAGTTTAATAAAACGTTCGCTGTATGCTTCCCAAGATTTAATATATTTTTCGAATTTCTTGTGTACAAATATAGACATTCCTGCTCTTGCTCTTTGATCCTTTTCCACTCCTGAGAAGAAATGTAGATAGTCTTTTAATTTTTCGCTTCCATTTCATTTTTTCTTGGTCTCAGAGAGAATGGCTATATCTAATTTTCGATTTACGAATTCCTGCATAATTTCTTGTTGTTTGTTCTGGATTCCCTGTATATTCCAAATTCCGTAATTCATGGTTCATTTTCGTCGCTGTTTTCGTCTACTGTAATTTTCGTCCGGTAACCGGGGTTCATAGCACTGTAGAATTTTCACAAGTGTAAGGTCGCTGGCCTTACGACTTAACCTTCATCCTTGGAGGACCGAATTTTCTGTTAGGGTTCATTCCCCTTGCCGATATGTTCCAGTTTTTAGGCGCCAGAGACTCGCCTTTTACCCTCTCTCGTCTGCTACATAACGCACTCCCATTATACGCCAAGCACCCAGTGGTTACGCGACATGGAATGTCTTCGTGGACGTGAGAGTAGGATTTGCTGGCAGAGCTGAGTTTTATTCCTAAAACCTCCAACTCATT